TGCCGGTTGCGTATGTGGCATCATCGCCATACAAGGACCTCCGTTCGGCGAAGTCGATTTTGCATTAGCACAATTGGTCAAACACAACAGGGGTGGAGGCGCTCGATCGCAGCAAGATAAACCCTTGGCCTCCGTAGCAGTTGCCTTTGTATACTACGGACGGCTGGTAGCATCGCTGGGGGGGTATGTTATTGGCGGTGACGTCGTGGTCTTTCAAAGAATCTGTGTCATCGTCTTCGAGTGTCGAATGGGACCCGACCGAGTCGTGTGTGCTGTTCAGCACTGTTTCTGACCTCCATCTGTCCGGCGCAGGCGACATGGTGGTTGAGCTCGTGGCATTGCACCTTAATTGCTGTTCCCTGCCCAATGCACACGTCGTACATGTTGATTCCGACGACTGGGATTTAACCCGCCACTCGCGATCGCACTGCCGGCACATCGTCTAGATATACCCAAGTAAGACGTCCATGAAATCATCGCTGCTAACCACTTACCCGATGGCATTGTGTGCATGACTTCTTTTTGCTCAGAGGGCCAAAGCGCTTGTCGCACAGGCAGCAACGCCACCTCAACGCTTTGCGACATTTCGTCGTCAGCGCGTCGTGGACTCGAATGTCTTGGCTGGAGATGGTCGTCTCTCCTTTCAAGTACCGCTCAATTTCCAACATGAACTGGCAGCGTCGGACGATTGCTTTTTCGACCAGATAATTTCGGCTGCGGAATGCATCGACTGCCCATTCGGACCTGCCGACTCCTACGTCGACTTCGGTCACGTACGACATGTCCAAGTAGCCAGGCTTGTCGAGCGATTCCAAAAAGACATGCCCACTGCCGTAGTTTTGCATCCGAACGAGGCCACACGAAGCCTCCAGATTTGGACAGCCAGGAAGTTGAATCGACCGGACAGCGCGTACCCAACCGCGCCGTCCTTGGATTGTAAACTCGCGATGGCACTGACGACAAACATAAACTTGGTGTCGTGAGCAATCGAATCGTCATACCTCAAGGACTACCGCGTCTCGATTCATCACCACTTTCTTCAATGGGCTCTGATATGCAAACCACTTGACAGTCATCCACCGGTTCGGGGTGTCTCGCATGGGGGCTTCGAGCATGTATAACGTCGTAGTCCCCAGTATATCCTTGCCAAACCGCTGTGTATATGCCGCCGCGTGGGCTGGCGTGTCGGTGCGCAAGAGCTCCACCACGTCCCTGAGCGACGCGCGCAGCTGCTGCTGACCACAGTGAAGGACTCTGCACCCACGGTGTGCACCGAGCGGCTCCTGGCCTTTGAAGATGCGGATTGCATTGTCCGACGACGTGAGAGACCAGGACGCGTTGTTCCTGCCCGCTTGCAGGGACCGATAAATCTACACGCACGTCCGGATTGAATAGGTCAACCAGGTTCCCTCAACTGTACCACTTGGGTGGCTGTTGAGAGCGCGAGCGCCTTGAGCTCTTCCACAGTGGTCTCAGTCAATGGCGGGGTCGCAAACAAATGACTTGCGTGAACGACAGACATTTTGAAAGTGCACCAGCCTCGAGAGAAGAGAGGTTGGAGGAGCAGCTAAGTTATATATATGGGTGATGATGAAACAAGGCACACCGGTCGCAGCCTGCGGTGTCGAGAAATAAAAATGGACTGTACCACGTGCACAAGATACATACTGTACAACCCCCCCCTTTCCTCGAGCGCCTCGTTTGGCGCTGAAACATGCGAGCTCGGCATGACGGGGACCACCGCTTCCATATCAACATCCGAGCTGGCTCTAGACGTACCAAAATGCTTGTGGGGAGTGTGACGACCGATGGCTCAAGGAAAGTCAAATCCACTTCGACCACAAGCCGACGCTGGATATCACGCCTTGACATGCATCGTCCTACTGTACCTGGTGGGGTGGATGGTGGCAAACTGCGTAAGCAATGGCGCAGCGCAAGCGCCAGGGTAGGTCGCCGTTGCCACTTGGTCTAGTCCTACTGTATACTGACCCGATGTCCACGTCGCTTCCGCCTCGAGCCACCACGTTTCGTATGGAGGTAGCCCGCCCAAGTCCAGTCTCAAACCATGCACGAGGAATTCGTTAAACCGAAGATTCGGGGAACATGTCGGGGGGCAGGCGGTCCCGCCGAGACATGTTTCTATCAAAAATGCCGCAGCCACATGTTTACCACGGCACACAGTAAACACAGTCGATATTGCTAGGGGCCACCTAGGCTTTCGAGTCAAATATCGAGCAGGGCTTTCGCCGCCGGCTCATTCTGGCCTCACCACGACGAACGGGCTCACTACTACAGCGAAAACGAAAGAAAGACGGAGGCACACTGTACAGGATTTTGGGGTTTGTGCGCACCCAGCGCGCCCACGACCGCAAGCGGAACAAGATGCATGGACGGTGATATCCAGCCAAACCTGGCGCGAGACGACGACGCACAGGCCAGTCGAAGAGTAGTAAGTTTTTCGCCAGGTGACAGGGCCAAGGATATATATACCTGTGCGACTTTTCGTGTGGTGATTACAGAAGGGTAAACTAGGGCACGAGGCTTCGAGATGGGGCAACACCCTTGTTTGCACAAGCTCTGTGTGAGGCCTACAAATTCAACCATACCAACAAGGTTTGGACAGACGACATGCATCGGACACGTGCTCAAGAGACGACATTGAGATTACTGGGGACAGCGAGAATTCTTGTGCCTCGTTTCGAAGCGGCATGACAACAAGAGTCTGGATGATTGTACTTGAAATCCTCCACGTCAGCGGACCGTTTTTACAAGGGGCCGTTGGCTCTCTTCAAGGTTTGTATAATTTTCTAGTCGTTTTTGTCTTCGAGCTTGGGCTGGTCTTCATCCAGACGTCGTCTTTGGACGTTGTCCTTGCAATCCGGATGCCGCAGGGGGGGTGGGGAATGTCACGATGGCGATACGTTGAGCCAGGGATCAAAACAACGACCTTTGGGACAACGAACCCATGCTCTACCAACTTACTGGTCGCTAAAATCCCCTCTGGGAGCAGCCTTTAGGCCAATTGGTACTTTACCCGGCTGGAGGAAGTGATGTCGTTTGTCAGATTTGGACTTTTCACAGTCTTTTTCAACATA